GGGTACAGAGTGGAAGCTCAACAGAGGTTTGCTGGATTAATGCACCTCCAGGACTTTGCTATAAGAAAAGAGAACAGAAGAAGGATCCCTCTCAAGCTTGGCACTAGGCTCTCCCAGCTGTTAGGTTGCAGCTTCCAGATCTGCATTCTTCTGTGGACATGTGCGTGCTGTTGGCTTCTTTCATTCTAAACCTTTGCTTCCGATGGGAGCTGTTGGAATAACCAACCTTTCCCATATTCTTAGTATGTGCAGTTTGAATTTAATAATTCCTGTGACCTGCACTTTGCCAATCACAGTGTGGTTTCCCTTAGTCTCAGTCTGATTCAAAGAAGGACATAAGACAAGCTGGACCCTTGTTGATATGACTTGAAAAAAAGGTGTTCTTTTTCTACTGCAGTCAGGTTTAAAGATGGTGAAACAACATGTCCTGGTGAAAATATTTGTGCAACTTCAAACAAGCCTCACCTGAAGTCAACACATTTCCTAACCGGGCCACTAACTTCCCAAGATTTCCATCACCTTACAACCAATTATAATATAGTAGTGGGTCCATTCTTTTCTGCATATTTTGAAGTTGAGTTTCTGTTCTTCCACATGTCCATGTCCTTCAAGTTGGAATTCAACAGGAAAATTCTAGCTGGGAGATGGTCTGAGTGAAGCCTCAACCACTTTTCATATCTTCATCGTACCTGAAAATGGACAAAGAGAGCATCGGAAATGGAAGTTGTAACTATTACTTCCAAATTCTAACTAAAGGAGGAATGCTCCTTCATTAACCGTCTCACTACACTGTGAACTTTGAGTCCTGCTGAGAGGATTGAAATGTCAGAGGGAGAGGCCTTTGGACTCTGGCTGACACCCATTCAGAAGAGGTGGCCAAGGCTCCTGCCTCTCCATCTCTCCCAGCGCTGCCTTAACCTAGGAGTATGGCTCAAGTACTAGGGCAGCTGGGACTTGGAAAATAACCTTGAAATTCATGGGTGGGTTCGAAGGAGGAAGAAAAGTCTGCTGCAACCCTTTTTCTCCAATGGCCATATCATCTAATAATTGACACTAAGACCCACTATAGAAAGCATAGCACAGAATACGCTCCTAGATCAATTCCTTTAACCCCCAGACAACCCTGGGTAGTAGGTCCTGTTATAATCCCACTTCACAGTTAAGGAATGGGGCCTAGAAAACTTAGAGAGCCTATCCTGGATCACCAACAGAATTGAGACCATCAGGATGCAAGCTCCCAACTACAACATGATGTTACCAGGTTTTCTGATAAAGAATAAAAACAAGAGCCAGCCCTCCAGTCATGGGAGTAGGGATGACAAATGTAAAGACAAGGAAAAGGCTCCAGCCCCGTGGATATTCAGACCCAGGTTCCTGTTGAAGTCAGTGGAAGTTGAAATGCATACCGGTTCTGCAGGCCACGGGGCCAGGCTGAAGCCATGAGTTTCATCTGGGTCTCCCATGTGTGTGGCAGAGGCCTAAGTACTTGGACTATCCTCCGCTGCTTTTCTAGGCATATTAGCAGGGAGCTGGGTAAGAAGTAGAATAGCTGGGACTCAAACTGGTGCCCATATGGGATGCTGGTGTTGCAGGTGGCAGCATTACCCACTATACCACGGCCCCAGCCCCTCAGTGAGTTCTTTATCACATGTGTAGAAAGATGTAAGTATGCATATATTGAATCATGCAGTTGAACATTCCAAAATCAAATACTCTCAGGGCCACAGACATCAAAACATATGGAGATTTTAAAATATATCACAAATTCTCTCATTCCTTTCTCCTCAAAAGATAGTCTTTGGGGCTGGCACCATAGCTCACTTGGTTAATCCTCTACCTGTGGCGCCAGCATTCCATATGGTCACCGGGTTCTAGTCCCGGCTGCTCCTCTTCCAGTCCAGCTCTCTGCTGTAGCCCTGGAGGGCAGTGGAGGATGGCCCAAGTGCTTGGGCCCTGCACCCGCACGGGAGACCAGGAGGAAGCACCTGGCTCCTGGCTTTGGATTGGCACAGCGCCAGCCATAGCGGCCACTTTGGAGGGTGAACCAACTGCAAAAGGAAGACCTTGCTCTCTGTCTCTCTCTCTCTCACTGTCTAACTGTATCTGCCAAATTAAAAAAAAAAAAAAAAAAAAAAAAAAAAAAAGATAGTCTTAATTTCCCTCAGTGACTCGCTTGCGGTGGATGGAAGGAGGCAGAATGACCTTGCGTGACCACAAAGACTAGGTTAGATAAGGGGATGGAGCTCTCACTTGACTTTCTCACGGGAGAAGCACTTGTAGGGCCACCATAAGAAACATGTAAAAATATAAGAAACATGTCTTTTCCTGAAGCCACCATACTGCAAAGACCAAATGGGGAGACTGGATCGGGACAGAAAATGGAGCCCCAGCTTTTCAGGCCTTTCCTTTGGGGTGACTGCAGACTCATAAAAGACCTCTAGCTAGAACCGCCCAGCTGAACCACTCCTGGATTCCACACCCATGAGAGAAAACAATTGATTATTGCTGTTGTAAGCCAGTGAATTTTGTGGTGTTTGTTACAAGGCAACAGATACTTCATATGGTGTCCTGATTTGCATTTGGTTTTATGACTGCATTGAACTTCACTATATCTATTACTGGCTAATAAAAATAGAATACATAAAGATGATAAATGGCAATGAGGTAAGAGTTAATGTTTTCCAGGACTTCAAATAAAGAAAAATGAGTGGGAAATGGCTCATCGTCCCCAACATAATGTCTCAGGCACTCAAAGAAGTCTTTGTTCAGACAACAGCGCATTGTGCCACTGAGTTTCAGCAAAACAACTTTGCCAATTACATTTTTTTAAAAAAGATTTATTTATTTGAAAGACAGAGTTACAGAGAGGCAGAGGCAGAGAGAGAAAGGTCTTCCATCCACTGGTTCACTCCCCAAATGGCTGCAATGGCCGGAGCTGTGCCGATCTGAAGCCAGGAGGCAGAAGATTCTTCCAGGTCTCCCACGTGGGTGCAGGGGCCCAAGGACTTGGGCCATCTTCCACTGCTTTCCCAGGCCATAGCAGAGAGCTAGATCTGAAAAGCAGCAACTGGGACTTGAATCAGTGCCCATATGAGATGCTGGCGCCGCAGGCGGAAGATAACCTACTGTGCCACAGCACCGGCCCCTTTTATGATTATTTTTATCTAGCTTTATATTATACCTTTGTATAACATTATGATGATAGAAGTCAACACCAGAGATCTATAATTATTTTTCTTTAAAAGGAATCTTAGGGTGGGCATCTAGCTAATAGTTACAGTGCTGCTTGGGACACCTGCATCCTCTATCAGAGTGCCTCGGTTTCATTCCTGGCTCCAGTTCCTGCTAATTTAGACCCTAGGAGGCATGAGTGATGACTCAAGTTGGGTTACTGCTACCCATGTGTAAGACTGGAATTGAGTTCTTAGCTACTGGCTTCAGTCCAGCCCAGTCTTGTCCATTGTAGCCATTTGGGGAGGAAGCCTGCAGATGAGAGCTTTCTCTTTCACTCACATAAATAAATAAATAAATAATTTTTAAAAAAGACAAAGTTTGAGACTTTATAAGGGAAGCATTTTCTGCTGCTTTTCCAGATGCATTAAAAGGGAGGTAGAATGGAGGCGGAGCAGCCAGGACTCAAACCGGCACCCACATGGGCTGCTGGCATTCCAGGAGGAGACTCAGCCTGCTGTGCCTCAATGCCAGCCCCAAATGATCTGTTTTAACCATAAGATGTTCTCAGTAATCCCCAAGTTAGCTACAAAGCACGAACCTATATTACAACACACTACCATCTCACCCACTGTTTTTAAATGAATCGACACTATTCACCTCAGGAATTCTTCCTTATAGCAATATAAAGCAGTATAATTCTAAGTCTTAGGGTTAATGACTCTGCCTGTAAGTCTTTTCAGTTTAAGACGTATTCTGATTTCTCTGTTTTCTATAGCTGCTTGTATATGTAGCCTGACTTTTTTGATTGATAATCATTTATTCCTTCCATGTACTGGTTTAAATGGGGAAATCCCCACCTGCTTGCCTTAGTCCCTGACCTCCTCAGCTGGCATTTTTGAGTAGAGCACTTGAATTCGATTTTAAGGCAGGCCATTATAAATGTACCTTTCAAATCTAAGGAATGTTCATCCATTTCTTAATTTTTATATTAGGCTTAAACAAAAACATAGAAGCTTGCTTTATGCCTACTATTAATGTGGATGCCTAACAGATATACAGCAGTCCATATATGTTATGAAAAACAGGTGGACATAGTTTGATTTTTAGGAATGAAACAGTGGATTATTAATTACCGCAATAATAGTAATGTCAGTCACTTATATTTCTCCTTTGAAATACTTGCATGATATGGTATTAAAGACTTCATCTATATTATCTCACTTAACCCAGGGAGGGGAATGTCTTGCCCCAGGTGGTATGAGGTTAGAAGAATCATTTGTGCTGGCCCTGCTAAGGCAACCTCAGGCAGGACTTGAAATTCAGTAAATCTGGCCAGCACCGCGGCTCACTAGGCTAATCCTACGCCTGCGGCGCTGGCACCTCAGGTTCTAGTCCCATTTGGGGCACCAGATTCTGTCCCGGTTGCTCCTCTTCCAGTCCAGCTCTCTACTGTGGCACGGGACGGCAGTGGAGGATGGCCCAGGTCCTTGGGCCCTGCACCTACATGGGAGACCAGGAGGAAGCACCTGGCTCCTGGCTTTGGATCGGCACAGCCCAGCCATAGCGGCCACTTTGGGGGGTGAACCAACTAAAAAAGGAAGACCTTTCTCTCTGTCTCTCTCTCACTGTCTAAATCTGCCTGTCCAAAAAGAAAAGAAAAAAAAAAAGAAATTCATTAAATCGGTAGCAGGCAAACTTTTAAGTTGATGATTTTGTATGGTGCATGTATGATGGCCCTTGAGAGAAAAAAGGTTCCCCACCCCTGTCTAACCTATACAATTTGCCTAATGATTAAAGTAAAATTGTCATTTTACAGAGGCTCAGAGGGATGGTCGTCTGTCCGAAGTTAACGTAGCTGGGAACAGAAGAGCACAGAACCCAGGTATGTCTGCTTTTATCACATCCGTTTTTACCTCTCCGGATTCTCTTGGTGGTCCATACCTGCTCTGCTTGTCACATTTCAGGAAAGCTAAGCTGTCATCCGCTGGAAGGGGCTCCATTATCTACATGCCAGAACAATAGGCAGAGGTTGACAAGCTGTGACAGGATGCTTTATCACGAGGATTCTTACTTCATGCCGACTGACAGTGCTCTATTTAATAAATAGACCTGTTAGATGGGTGTCTAGCTAACTTTCTGCTGCGCACATCAAGAGAAAAGGCAGGCCCCAGAATCTGGCTGCTCCCAATCCTTGTTCAGAGCAGGGTCCCCAGGGCCTCTGTTTTACTGCAGTGTTGTTCTCCACGCCCCACAGCACTGAGGATGTAGCACTTCTTCTTTTTCTTCTTCTTTTATTTTGTTTAAGGAATACAACTTCATGCATTTAATGTAAACAGATTTGGGAACATGATGATTCTACGCCCCGGCTTCCCTCCTACCAATACTCCCCACTTTCTTCCTCCTCCCTCTTCCTTTTCTATTCTTATTATTTACAGAGATCAATTTGCAGTAAATTTTTATACTCATAAGATTAACCCTACACTAAGTAGAGAGTTCTTGGAATAGTATGAGGAAGAATAAGAAGTAAAGAGCAAAAACAAACAAACAAGAAAAACAGTATTCCCTAACAGTCAAGGCAAGGGCTGTTCAAAATCATTGCATCTCAAAGTGTCAGTTTGGCTCCAATAGATTATATTTTAAGTACTTTATTAGTTACCACAGATCAGAGTGACCACATGGTATTTGTGGTTTTGTGACTGGCTTATTTCGCTAAGTATAATGGATTCCAGTTGTGGGGAGCAACTCGGACTAGACTAAGTTACTGGAATTAAGACTTATTCTATGCATCTGCTCTCCCACAATATGGCGCTGGGAGAGGAGTAAATAGCTTCTACACAGCTGCCTCTCGCCAATTTGATTGACTGAGCTGCAGGAGCTGATGTTGCTCCTGATTGGAGGAGAGCAGCGTGCTCAGCGTGTGGGTAGCAGAGTTGGGATTGGTGGAAGAGGACTATAAAGGAGGAGAGAGACAACATGCACCAGGAACATCTAAGAGGAACACCTGTGCAGCCCCTGAAAGAGCTGGCCGGCGGTGTGCCGCTCCCCCGCGGAAGTGGGGAAAGTGGCAGGGGGAACCGCCCTTCCACGGAGGTGGAAGGGACGGTAGCCAACCTGGGAAGAACCAGCAGCAAACCCGGGGAGGGCCGAGCAGACCAAAGAACAGCGCAGGGTCCTGTGTCGTTCCTCCGCGAAGAGGGGGAGCGACATAATGGTGCCGTGACTCGGATATGAAGCCTAGGCAGGGTCCTGTGTCGTTCCTCCGTGAAGAGGGGGAGTGACATAATGGTGCCGTGACTCGGATATGAAGCCTAGGCAGGGTTTAGTGTCGTTCCTCCACGAAGAGGGGGGAGCGACACCAGTTGCATCCATTTTGTTGCAAATGACAAGATTTCATCTCCCTTTTTTACCGCTGTCTAGTATTCCATAGTGTATAAATACCATAATTTCTTTATCCAGTCTTCAGTTCATAAACATCTGGGTTGATTCCATATCTTAGCTATTTTGAATTGTGCTGAAATGAACATAGGGATACAGATAACTCTTTTATATGCTGATTTCATTTCCTTTGGATAAATTCCCAAGAGTGGGATGTCTGGGTCATATGGTAGGTCTATATTCAGCTTTTTGAGATATCTCCAAATTGTCTTCCACAGTGGCTGTACCAGTTTACATTCCTAACAATAGTGGATTAAGGTTCCCTTCTCCTCAGATCCTAACCAGCATTGGTTGGTTGTTGATTTCTGTATGAGAGCCATTCTGACAAGGGTGAGGTGAAACCTCATTGTGGTTTTGATTTGCATTTCCCTGATAGCTAGTGATCCTGAGCATTTTTTCATGTGTAGATTGGCCATTTGAATTTCCTCTCTTGAAAAATGTCTGTTCAGGACCTTTGCCCATTTCTTAATTGGACTGTTTGTTTTGTTGTTGAGTTTCTTGAGCTCTTCATAGATTCTGAAAGCTAATCCTTTGTCAGTTGCATTGTTTGCAAATATTTTCTCCCATTCTGTCAATTGCCTCTCCACTTTGAGAATGTAGAATTTCTTAAAAGAATGTTCTGTTACTGCATCTGAAGACTTTTCCCATCTGCTGTCATTATTTACTAAAAAAACAAATTTATTTATTTTATTTATTTTTTTGACAGGCAGAGTTAGTGAGAGAGAGAGAGACAGAGAGAAAGGTCTTCCTTTTTCCATTGGTTCACTCCCCAAATGGCCGTTACACTGTGCTGATCCGAAGCCAGGAGCCAGGTGCTTCCTCCTGGTCTCCCATGTGGGTGCAGGGCCCAAGGACTTGGGCCATCCCCCACTGCCTTCCTGTGCCACAGCAGAGAGCTGGACTGGAAGAGAAGCAACCTGGACAGAATCCGGCACCCCTGCTGGGACTAGAACCCTGGGGTGCCAGCACTGCAGGCAGAGGATTAGCCTGGTGAGCCACAGAGCTGCCCAGATTTATTTTTAATTGAAAGAGAGAGAGGGAGAGAAAAGGAGGGAGGGAGGAAGAGATTGATCTTCTATTCACTGTTTACTCCCTAAATGCCCATTGAGCTAGGGTGAGTTTGGGTAGAAACCAGAACTTAATACAGGTCTCCCATGTGGGTAGCAGTAACCCAAGTACTTGAACCATCATCACTACCTCCAAAGGCTAATGCAGAAATCTGGAATCAGATGCAGAGCTGGGAGTTGAACCCAGGCACTCTGAGATGGCATACAGTCATCTTAAGCCCTATGTAACACCTACCTCTGCTGTCATTCTTTCCACAGGTTTTGATACGTATGTGCAGGAAAGGTCAACACCTTTCCTGTAAGTATTTAAAAATACCCATCTCTGAATCAGTGAACTTGAACTTTCCTGTAAATCATGTTTAAAAATCACCCATTCACAGATTTAAGGGATATTTTACAATGTTTTAGTTGTACCGGGTATCAGGATGATAGCCTGCTTTGGATCCATGAGACGTGTGTAAGTTCTTTAGTTACATTACCTCCATTTGTTAAATGTTTATGATGCATCAGAAACCAGTCAAGAATCTTTGCAAATGTTAACTCACTAAGCCCAAGGAAGAGGTATGTTCCCATTGAAGAAACTCAAGTTTAGAGAATTGAGATAGTTTGTTCAAAGTCACGTTGCTGGGGCTGGCATTGTGGTGTAGCACTTAAGCTGCTGCCTGGGACGCCGGCATGCCATAAGGGTGCCAGTTGGTGTTTCGGCTGCTCCACTTGCTCCCTGCTAACGGCCTGGGAAAAGCAGAGGATGGCTCCAAATGTTTGGGTCCCTGATACCCACATGGAAGACCCTGATGACGCCCCTTGCTCCTGGCCTTGCAACCATCTGGGAAGTAAACCAATGGATGGAAGATCCATCTCTCCCTCTCTCTACCCTCCCTCCCCCATTTCTCTCTTTGTAACTCTGCCTTTAAAATAAATAAATATATCTGTTTTTAAAAAATTGCATTGCTTCTTAAATGGCAAAGCTAAGATTTGACCTCTGTTTCTGTGACATCAAACTCTATCCTACTAACTCCTGTGTGACACCACCATCCACATGAATACATACTTGGGCAGTGTTAGAAATGGCGTTAATACTAATGATCTTTATTACATACTATGTAATAAGCTACTTCCCTTAACCTTCCCTCTGCCTGTATATAAGTATATAAAGTATCACAAATATGGAATTTTTTATTGACTTCTGTCCCCAAGGCCAAATATTAACAATAATCCTTCAGGGACTGATCTGGAGTTAATGGGCCAGTATTTGTTACAGTCTGGCCAAGCTGCACTCCCAAGGCCATCTTGTTTTAAAGGTTTCTGGGGAATTAGCTATAAAATGATTGCAGCACTGGTTCTCTTAACAGGACTCAGAAAGAAGGTGGGTACGTGCATTCCTTTTTCTTTTTCTTTTTTAACCAATGATCAGAAAATGTCACCTTGGCAATCATTCCACAGGAAATTAATGTTACTGCTTTACGTGGTTGTGGCCCACGGAATGGCGGAAAGGAATATGTATGCTTGTTTTATGTTGTTAACCAAAGCGAAAGATTTCAGTATTTAGGTGCCTCAGTACATGTATGCTTAGATAATTATTTCCCTCTTAAGAAGAAGGGAAAGGGACAAGCATTTACCCTAGTGCTTAAGATGTTCTCACCCCCTGGTGAAGTACCTGGATTTAATGCTAGGTCTGTCTGCTGGTTCCAGCTTCTTGCTGATGCAGACTGTGGGAGGCAGCAGTGATGGCTCAAGTGATTAGGTTCCTCCCACCAATGTGGGAGACCTGGATTTTGTTCCAGGCTCTTGGCCTTGGCCTTGGCCCAGTCCTGGCTGCTGCAGATATTTGAGGAGTGAACTAGTGAATATGAGCTTTCTTTTTCTTTTCTTTTCTTTTTTGTCTATTTCTGTCTCTCAAATAAGTAATTAGCCAAATATGTATTTTTTTTAAAAAAATTAAGAAGTAAAATATAGTCACCCCTCAATTTTCATGGAGGGTTTGTTCCAGTACCCCTTGCAGATAACAAAATCCTTGGATGCTCATGTCCTTTATAGAAAAATAGCCCAGTATTTGCATATAACTTGTATACATCATCCCTTATACTTTACATTGTCTCCAAGATACATATAAAACCTGGTAGAAGGTAAATGCCATGTAAATAGTTGTATTGTTTAGAGAATAATGACACAAAAAAAGTCTGTATACCTACAATACAGGCAGAATTTTTTTCTCTCATGTCATCCATCTGAGGCTTGTTGTGTCCTCAGATGTGGAACTATGGATACAGAGGACGACAACATTGTCAGAGGCCCTGTCATCTTTTACCATCTGGAGGTCTGTGCATAAATAGCAGTACTCGTAAACGTTATGCCAAGCAAGTAACTAATGTAACCAGCA